ATTACATAAAACCAATATCCATATTTTAAAAACAGCTGCATTTTTTCCTAAAACATTTATTTCATTTACTTGCTGCATCCAGGACAGCTTAGAAATATAAAGCAAATAAAACTAGCAAATTCAATATTGTGTTGAACTCTAACTTAAAAATATGATTTGAAATGGTAAGAGTTATTATTAATAAGTAAAGGTTGTATCTGTTTATAGCTGTTTACATTTACCAGAGATGTGGGGCTCTTCACAAATTTTTCCGTGTGAAGAAAGTAAATGTTTTTCATGCAGTGCCTGAATTTGAGAGTCCAGCTGAGTGGTCCAAGAGTGGCTCAGGTTTTGGGTCTGAGGTGAAGTGATGACATGCCACAGAAGGAGAGGTGGAATCGAAGTACACCTTCCATGTAAGCTGCCTGGAGTCTCTTCTTCTGAACTGCTCTGCTCCTGTTCCTAGCTCAGTGGCCCAGGCTGAAATACTTGGATAAAGTTGTCCATACATCCACAGAACAAAGACACTAGGGACTGTCACCGTGACACTATTAACTGTTTTACCATCCTATTCACAAGGGGATTTAGATACACTTTTTCTAAAAGGTTGACTCAGATTTTTCCTTGTGTCCTTGGCCATAAAAGGGCTTGAGCTGATTGGACTTCCTAATGGCTCTAATAATTATAGATACCCAGAGCTTCATGGTAACAGCACCCAGGGTGTGGGACTCCCTTTAGTTAAAGATTCTTATAAAACAACATCCCTCTGGTATTATAGGACTAAATTTCCTGGGAGAAGATCTGAAACAGAGTGTTCTATGCTCACCCTAATTTTTAGAAAGGAAAATTTTGGCAAAAAAGGTAGTTTTGATTGTTGTATTTAAGAAATAGAAAAACAAGTCCTAAATCTTAACTTCATATAAAGACATGGAAGAAGGAAGATATACAGAAAAACAGTGTATTTTGGAGTCAGACCAAACTGGATTTCTGGCTCTACAAAAAAAGTTCCTAACTTCATCCCTCATTTTTACAAATGTACTATTTCTGTTAATACTAGGGTTGTGAGTAAGAAGTCCTATGTATAAATCATTTGATGTAATGCTTGACACAAAGGAGACATGTAATAAATAGTTATAGCTATTGCTGGTTATGTAATTAATATTGTATATTTATTGACTTATATTACATGTTAATAACAACAAAATTTACATGCTTGTCTGAGTTCACATTTGCATTTGGTTTTAATTCCCCTGATTATAGTATTGTGATTTGTCTTCTTCTGGAAAGAAACTGCTGGGAAACTTAGATACTAATTGCGAGTTTCTGTTTCTGTATTTTCATGAGTAGGTAAAATAAAGCAAATACATGTTAAATAACTAAGTCCTATCTTCCAGGTTGGAGATGATGAAAGGGGTGCCAAGGAAGAACACTCTAGCGTTCATCTTTGCTTTCCAGTGCTTAGTGTGTTGTTAGAAAGAACTAGCAGTTAATAATGTAATAATTTTCTCATGATTGTAGTGTGATACAGGATCAGAAGGCCAAAGTAATTAGTGAAGGGACCTGAGCTAAGCTAGGCTTCATGGCCAAAAGTGATTTGAATAAGTCCAGTCACCTGATTCCAGTGGGGCCAACAGCATGAGTATGACATATGACATCTGTAAAACATAACACATTTGAAAGATAACTGATATAAAGCAGAGAGTGTATGTTGGAGGATAATGGGAAATAAACAAGTTGAATTGCTGGGGTAGGTGAGGTCCTAGTAGTAGTGTTATTATTTTTGTTATTATTAATAGCTAGCACTGTTAACTCATGTGTGAGATATTAAACCAAGTTCTTTCGTGCATAACTTCAATTAAGCCCAACAGCAAGCCCGAAAGATAGTAATATTATTGTTCGCATTATTTAGGTAAAACAATTAAAGCTTAGCAAATTTAAGCAAGAGTCAGTATTGTGTGATAGTTAAGAGCATAAACGATGTAACCAGACTGCCTGGGTTTGAATCTTGGCTTTACTAGTTACTACCTGTGTTTCCTTGGGCAATTGCTCATCTTTTTTTGCTCATCCTGTTTCTATTTCTTCACCAGTAAAAGAGTGATAATAGTGATACCCAGCTCATAGAGTTATCGTGTGGATCCAATTAGTTAAATTTATGTATGTGTGTGTATGTATGAGTGTACAAATATACACACACATAAACTTAGCCAATTATGAGTATGTATATATGCATGCATGTATATATGTATGTACACACAAACTTAACTAATGCGTATGTATATATGTATGTATATGCATGCATAAGTATATTCATACATATATACACATATAATTCACACACACACAAACACACACACACATAAACTCTTTGGATCTACACAATAACCCTATTTTATATCTGTATACACATGTACATATACATGTATGTGTGTGTCTATCTTCTTTAGAATACTGCTAACTACATAGTCAAGTGTTAACAAGTGTTTGCTTTTATTAAGTAGATAACACATAGATAGCAATTTTGTAAAAGACACAGGAAATCTTTCAATGGCTTTTTTATATTGCTGATCATTTAAGCTGAGAGAATAACATACATAAGTAATTTATATTCACTTTAGAAAAAGTAGAATATACAGATAAAAATTTAAAATCTTTATTTCTCATAATCATTATATTTCTATATTTTTTCAGAAGATGTATTTATAAACATATATATAAAGATATGTCTTATAACCTGATTTTCCACTTTAAAATATCTAGAAACATTATGTCAATAAATACAGCTACCTTATAATTGTAATGGTCACATAATAATCTGATGTGTGGATGTAGCATACATAATTGATCCCCAATTACCTATCTTTATAGATGGTTTTCAATTCCTTTTTGGTATTTTAAACATTCTCCAGTGAATAATCTCATAGATTTTTGGAGCTATTTACTTAGGGTAATTACCAGCAGTGTAAATTCTGAGACAAAGTTATGACCATTTGTCAGAAATATTATATATTTACATATTGCCAAATTACCATTCAGAAATTTTTAAAATTTTGCAGTTCTGTCAACAATGTATGAGAATTGTCATCTCCCATCCCTCAATCAGGTCACATAGTGGTTATTGCTCTTTTAAAAAATATTTTCAAATCTGATATGTGAAATGCATCATTTGAAATTACTTAATATTATTACTTCAAATATGCTTATTGAAAATTTATATTTTTATACATTTTCTGTTTATGTTATTTTTCACCTATTTAAAAAACTTTGAGGTGTTTGAAATGAATTTTCATGATTATGATAGTACCTTTTGTCTCACACATTTTGAAAATATATGTGACTATACTTTGGTAAAAATTTGCAAAGGGGAGGAGCAAATGAGTTTGGAACCATTTGGAAAATAATAAGGATACTTTTTCTAAAATTCAAATCTTAGTGTTTCGGTTCGCTTTGTGTTGCTATAGTAGAATACCTAAGACTGAGTAATTTTGAGAGAACAGAGGTGTATTTCTTACAGTTCTAGAGGCTGGGAAGTCCAAGATAGAGGGTCTGCATCTGGTGAGGGCCTTCCTGCTGCAGTAGTCCCATGGAAAAAGTGGAAAGGTGAGAGAGCACATGAGAGAGGGCAAATGGGACCAAACTCATCCTCTACCAGGACCCCACTCTCGTGGTAGTGTACCCACTCTCTAGATAACAGCATCAGTCCATTCATAAGGTCAGAGTCCTTGTGACCTAGTCATGCTTAGAGGTCCTGCCTCTCAATACTGTTGCGTTGGGGATGAAGTTTCCAACACACAAACGTTGGGAGCACATTCAAACCATAGCACTGAGCATGTTCTATTATTTTAAAGACCTTTGATAGCTTCCCTTTGCAAGAGAATAAAGTCGAGGTTTTAAAACTTGGCATATGAGATCTACCATGACCTGGTATTAGTTGGCCTTGATAACCTCTTTCGTAAACGCTTTCTCATTGTGGGGCCAATTGTGTGTATGTCTTTCCAAGTCCACTTTCTGTGAAGTCATGTTGGTGGATTGAAATCAGACATAGCAGGAGTATTTACACCATGGAAACTGGCAAACATCAAAAAGTAGGACTTTTTTTTTTTTCCTGGAGACTCAGATGTTAAATATTTATCAGCATTCCCCTGCATGTACTCTAAACTCCAGGCACCCTAAATTTCTTAGCATTCCTCATCCAGGGCAGGAATAAAATACGTTTGCATCCTAGTCGTGGTATTACTCAGTTGCCCCATCAGCACTTATTAGCAGTGTCTGGGGGAAGCCGGAAAGTGGGTCCTCTAGTGGAAGTGCTCAGCCTCGCTCCTGACTAACCCAGGCCGGCCCAAAGTTGTCCATTCTAGGCAGTCATACAAAGCCCTGTTTTGGAAACATGTCACACTGAGAACATCATCCAGTATGCATGACGGCTGGAAGAAGGTGGCCGCTGATAAGAGGACTAGTCAGGATGCTGGAATTTTGTAGAGAGCATCGCCTCGTCCTGAGGGGCTGGTGAACCCTGGAGCTGGGCAGTAGTAATAGGACAGAAAGGAAAAGCAGACACGAGCCGTTTTAGGCAAGGAACGGTGGAACTTGGTGAAGGATGGACTAGGAATAGAGACTAGGCAAAATTAAAGCTTAAAATGTCTTTAGGCTTCTAATGTAGAAGGAGATGTTTAGAATAGATGTTGGAGTCATCTGTGTAAAGCCATGGACTCACCAGGAAGAGAACCCAAAAGGTAAAAAATAAAATAAAAACAGAGTGGGGGCAGAAATCTGAAAGTCAAGTCGAGTGTTAGGAAAATCTCTGCTTTGGGAGAGATCAAAAAGGGGTGTAGAGGCTGGGCACAGTGGCTCACACCTGTGTTCCAGCTCTTTGGGAGGCTGATGCAGGAGGATCGCTTGAGCCCAGGGGTTCCAGACCAGCCTAGATCCCATCTCTACCAAACATGAAAAAATTAGCTGGGCACGGTGGCACATACCTGTGAGTTCCAGCTACTCAGAAGGCTGAGGCAGGACTGCCTGAACCCAGGAATTCAAGGCTGCAGTGAGCTATGATCATGCCACTGCACTCCGGCCTGGACAACAGAGCAAGATTCTGAAAATTGCAGCATCCCAAAAGCTGGGGAAAGAGTTTTAAAGAACAAAGAAGGCGAGAAAACTAAAGGTGTAAAAACAGCTAAGAAAATTATCATTAACTTTGGGAAGGAGTTCACTAGTAAAGTAAAGCTGGTTCACCTACAGAGCAGTAGAAACTGGAAAGTCACTGCACCGCAACTCAGTGGACGGAATTCAAATTCCTGTGCTGCTTGCTGGCTGTGGTTCACGTTACACAAATGTCTTCTTCACTCCAAAATTAAGTTTCTTCTTTTATAAATTGGAGACGGTTTTTGTTCTATTTCATAAGGTTATTGTGAGGGTCAAAAGAATGATACCTTTGGAAATATTTTGCAAGCTGAGTTTTCAATGTGACACATTTCCATTATTACAGTCATAATCAGAGCTAGCGAGAAACAAGAGGAAGAATGGTTAATAAAAAGAAAGGTAAATGATGAGAAGAAAAAAGGGGTGATTGGGCAGCAGCTTGAAGAAGAAACGAGGTTTATTTTTATTTGTATATTTATTTATTTATTTATTTATTTATTTATTTATTATGAGTTGGAGTTTTGCCCTTATCACCCAGGCTGCAGTGCAATGGTGCAATCTTGGCTCACTGCAACTTCCACCTCCGGATTCCAGTAATTCTCCTGCCTCAGCCTCAGGTGCTGAGCTCAGCTCTCAGCTCAGTAGCTGTAGCTGAGACTGCAGGCACCCACCACCACACCCAGCTAATTTTTGTATTTCTAGTAGAGACGGGGTTTCACCATATTGGCCAGGCTGGTCTCAAACTCCTGACCTCAGGTGATTTGCCCACCTCAGCCTCCAGAGTGCTGGAATTACAGGGGTGAGGCACCATGCCCAGTAGAAACAAAGATTAATGAGGCATTTGTTTACTTTTGTTTAAAGGTAGGGATACATTGGGCATGGCTGAAGATAGAAGACTTTCATTGTGGAAGACGGGTGACTACAGGTGTAGTGTCCAAGTAAATGAAGGGCCTGATCTTTCAACTTAAGAGAGAAGGCTCTTCCTCTGGGACTGGTGGGAAGTTCAGACCCAGATACAGAGACAGGCACTTGCCAAAAGGAAAATGGGATGAAGTTGCTCTTGTGTGACACTCCGAACATATGCTTGAAGGATAAGGAAAGGCTGTGGAAGAATGGTTAGGGAGAGAGTGATGGGTTCTTGAAGAAGAGCTGGAAGACAGAAATATGGTTTCAGTGACTGCTGTGGTATTATCTTCTAATACTGTAACCGACAGTATTCAGTCCCTTTAGAGGAGTTGTCGAATCCGATGTTGATGACCTCTCCCCTATGTAGTCACTGTGCATTGGCTCAGTTCAAGTTGCATAATATGACCTAACAAGAAAAGGAGTTATGCTTCTGCACAATTGGATTGGATAACAAGGATGGTCACCTCATTATCTGAACTGAAGACTGGAGATAGTTGGATATGGGCTTCATATATATTTTCCAGTTTTGCAAAGCCATGTGGGAGGTAAAGTCTGCACACTAAAATGTTGGATTCTCCAGGATAGTTCCATGGTTTGTAAGTTGGAAGGGAGGGTCTGTTTGAAAATCAGGAGTTTCTTTGAAATGTGAATCATATGATCTGTAAACAAAGTTACCAAAGGGTAACTTCCCTCTCAGATATCATGGGACTTACATTAGAATGTGAAAGTGTAAGGTGGCGATGAGATGGGCATGAGAAGGTGCCTCTATTCTAGCATGGTCGTCATTGGCCGGAACTGAGTGGTGGCTGCCTTAGAAATGACTTGTCCTGTACAGGTTGCTTCAGTTACTACCACTCCCATTAATCTGTCAGATACTGAGGCTGAGGATCAGTTTTCATTCAAAATTACGCAGGATCCCTTGTTTTTCTTATAATAAAAAGGAAGCTCTCTGGTTCATGACTCTATCACAAGTGGAATAAGGAAAGAATGAGAGTTTACACATTTTAACTCTTTTCTTATATGCCTGACTCTGGTAGGCATCTGAGTTTAGGAATCATGCTCTAAGTCAAAGTTATCAAACTCGGTGTTATGTATGACATGGGATATGTCGAGATCAATCCTGAGGTTTGTCAACCACTTAGCAAGTGTAGATAAAGTAGGGATGTTTGTGAATGTTGAACTTTTGACACATTAAAAATTGTTCAGGTGAGGTGTGGTGGCTCACGCCTCTAATCCTAGCACTTTGGGAGGCTGAGGCAGGCTGATGGCTTCAGCCCAGGAGTTTGAGACCAGCTTGCAACATGACAAAACCCCATTTCTATAAAATATTAGCCACATGTGATAGCACATGTCTGTAGTCCTAGCTACTCGGGAGGCTGAGGTGGGAGGATTACCTGATCTCAGGGAGGTGCAGGTTGCAGTGAGCTGAGATTGTGCCACTGCACTCCAGCCTGGAATGAGATCTTGTCTCAAAACACATACACACACACACACACACACACACACATATGTAGTCTCAAATATATATATAATATATATATATTGTCTCTAAATACACACATACAAATATATATATATAAATTTATATATATATATAAATTTATATATATATATATATTTGTGTGTGTGTGTGTGGGTGTGTGTGTGTGCATGTGTGAGAGAGAAACAGAGTTTCACTCTGTCGCCCAAGCTGGAGTGCAGTGGTACAGTCTTGGCTCGCTGCAACCTCCGTCTCCCAGGTTCAAAGCAATTCTCTTGCCTCAGCCCCCCAAGTAGCTGAGATTACAGGTGTGCACCAGCATGCCTGGCTGATTTTTGTATTTTTAGTAGAGACAGTTTCACCATGTTGCCCAGGCTGGTTTTGAACACCTGAGCTTAGATAATCCACCTGCCTTGGCCTCCCAAAGTGCTAGGAGTACAGGCATGAGCCACTGTGCCTGGCCATAATTTCTTTTTCAGAACCACTTTATTGAGGTATAGTTGACAGGGAAAAGGCTTTACATATGTAATGCATACAATTTGATGACTTAGAAATAATTATACACATACGAAACCATCACTACCATCAATGCAATCAATATATCCCTCACCTCCCTCCTGCTTTCTTTATTTTGTGTGTATGTGATGTGAGCACTTAGGATCTCCCTTCTCATCAGAGTTTTAAAGCATATGATACAGTATTGTTTACTATAGACGCTATGCACAGTAGTCTTCTAGGACTAAATTATCTTGCATAAGTGAAAATTTATACCCTTTAATGAAGTGTCCTTGTTCAGCACCCCCACCCTAGCTTCTGGCAGCCTTTATTCTACTCTGTCTATGAGTTGTAGTATTTTTCCTTCTATGTCTGGCTTATTCCGCTTAGCATATATTCTTTCAATTCATTGATGTCATCACAAATGGCAGAATTTCCTTCTTTTTGAAGGCTGAGTAATATTCCATTGTGTATATATATACACCATATTTCCTTTATCCATTCATCTGTTGATGATATTTGGATTGCTTTGGCTAGTGGGAATAATGCTGAAAACCAAATATCTGATAAAGGGCCAATGTAAAAAAAAATAATAAATAAGGAACTCCTGTAACTCAATAGCAAAACCACAAATGACCAGTATAAAAATGAGCAAAGAACCAGAACAGACATGTCGTTAAAGAAGACATGTAAGTGGTCAATAGGTGTATGGAAAACTGCCCAACATCAGCAGTCATCAAATGCAAAGTAAAACCACGATGAAACATCATCTGATATTTGGCAGAAAAAAAAGAAAGATAAGTGTTACTGAAGGTGTTGAACGCTTGCAAACTATTGGTGGAAATGTAAACTGGTACAACTACTGTGGAACAGTACGGAGAGTCTTCAGAAATTAAAAACAGAGCTTACTATTGTATAATCCAACAATTCTTCTTCTGGGTATATATCCCAGAAAGTTTAAATCAAAATCTCAAAGAGATATCTGATATAATTAAGCATTTAAAAACCTTTTCTTTTTTAGAGACAGAGTTTTGCTCAGTCCCCCAGCTGGAGTGCACTGGCACAGACATAACTCACTGCAGCCTCAGATTCCCGGGCTGAAGCAGTCCTCCCACCTCAGCCTCCCAAGGGACTGCTGGCACTTGCTACCATGTTTGGCCAACTTTTAAAGTTTTTTTGTACAGGTGGGGTTTCCCAGTCTGGTAATGAATGATATCTGATGTAATTTAAGCCAGAGAGAAACATCATGTTAGAGTTAGGACAATGAGAATATCAGTGGGATTATTCACACACATAGCGTGTCGTATGTGTCTCAGAGGGAAAAAAGTTGAGAACTATTGCTCTGGCAGATGGTGGAACAATGACTGTGTAGTCGTTTTAGGCAGCGCTGAAAAATCACATGTGATGGAACATTTTCTGCAGAGCTATATTTTGTTCTTAATTTAATTTTTATCAAAGTCAAATGTATACATAGTTTAAAAAATCAATTAGTGTAAGATTCATCATGAAAACCACGTCTACTGACCCCCTTCGCCCTATTTCTCCTCCCCCAAGGCAACATTTAAGTTAAATGAATAATTGATGTTTACATTGCTATCATATAAATTGTATTCATAATTAAATCACAATGTTCCTGTCACACTTTGTTTCTTCTAAACATTGCTTTTTTCTGGACTTAATCGTTGTCTCGTATTTTGTTTGTTAGGTTTTCTTCCTTAAATCATGTATTAGAATTACATCCTTCTCAATATGGTGAGGTCTGCTAGATAATATCAGTTTCATTTTATCTTGGAGACCACCGTCTTGAAGCCTGCCATCCTCTGTCCAATCAAACTAGTTGCTCTCTAGGGTGCTACGTAAGCATCATCCTGGGATTCCCCACTGCCATGGTTCAGTTACTTCACTTTTCTCTTGGGTTGGATCCCACATCTATTTATGCCTCTTTACTCTAATTGTTGTGAATTATGTCCTGGGAGTTTCCTGAGAAAGGATAAGTGCTTTTGATTCCTTACAGGACTCTAAAAAGGTCTGTAGTCTACCATCACACTTGGCTAAGTGCAGACCTCCATTGTAGAAGAAATAATCCCTCTTTTCTGATGACATTGTGTTTTTGAAAATTCTTACTGAGAACTGTGAAGCCATTTTGACTGATGATCTTTCATATATGATCACCTTTTTTTGGTATGTCTATCTTCAAAGTTTTAAAATATCACCATAGCCTGTTAATCCAGTTCTTTTGGGTTTAGAAAAATATCGTTGGCTAATTTCCTTCCCCAAAGTTTTCTTTTTCTGAAACTTTTATTGGTCAGCTTTTAAGGTTCGTAGATTAGTTTTCTATTTTTCTTATTCTTTCTCTCCTGTTTTTCCATTACTTTGTCTTTTGTTTTACATTCAAGAAGATTTTGTCAACTCTGTCCTCTAAATATACTACTAAGTTTCTTAAAGTTTTGCTGCCAGATTTTTTAAGGCTCAAAAGCTCTTTGTTGATCTATTCTTGTTTCATAGATACCATAGTTTTTTATGTATAATTAGTAACCAGAAAATACACTAATAGCATTGCCTCCATTTTAGGAATTTGTGTGTTTAAATATTTTTTATAGAGATTTTAAAAATTATTAGTAATCCTTGACTTTGTGTCATATTTAAAATGTGAGAGTCCAAGAAAATATTGGAAGCAGTGTGTGTGTGTGTCTGTGTGTGTGTGTGTGTGTGTGTGTGTGTGTGTGTGTGTTAGGGGCAGGAGAGGACTCCCCACTGATTGGATTCATTGGCTGTTTCATTGGCAAACCCTTAAATGTCATTATCTTTAGGTGTTAAATCTCAAGCTGGCATTTCTCTGGAGAGAAATTGTTCATTGTCTTGCCTGGATGTGAAAACCTGATTACCAGATCTTGAGGTATTTATCATAAAGGATTTAGGCTGGGGATTCTCAAAACGCAGTCTGTGGACTTCAGGGGCTTCCTAAGATTCTTTCAGGGATTCTAGAGTCAAAACTAATTTCATAATGATACTAAGATCAGATGTTACTTACGTTTTTGTGGTGGTGATATGTGCACTTACGATGCAGCCTCAACCATGGGTAGATTTGCTGGTGCTCAGCACTAACCAGTGTAGTAGCACCAAACACTGCTAGTAGTTATTGTATTCTTCACCACCATGCATTTAACAGCTAAAGCAAAAAACAGAGCCACTTTCATTTAAAAATGTCTTTAGTGAACAGTAAGAGTTTTAATTATTATTTAACCTTGACTCAGATGCACATCTCTGTTATATTTTCTGTGATGAATGGGAAGTACACACAAAGCACCTCAGCAGCATGCAGTGCAGTGATTGTCTCCAGGAAAAGCATTTGTGCTGTTGTTTGAGTTAAAGAACTACCTGCTTTCTTCAAAGAACCTCATTTCTGCTTGGAATAATGACTGACAAAGAATGGTCATTTAGATGTGGCTATTAGTCCTCGAAAGTGGACAAAGTAACCTTAGCACTTCAGGGAAAACAGCTAATGGTATTTGTTGCCAATGATAGAATCTGAGTTTTCAGGAGAAAGTTGAAATCTTGGAAAACTTGTATCCTCCACCGTGAGCTTGAAAGTTTCCTAAGTGGGGTTACCAATGATAGTAACCATGTGATTTTTCAGTATGATATAATACAGTGCACCTATGTTTGAAAGATATGCCGAAATCAATGAACTGGTATTTTACAAATGATCAGTGCAGGATGTTTCCAAAGCATGCATAAGAAAAAATGCAAGATAGGTCAATAAATTTTAATATAGCAGAATACAAAAAGTTCACTGATACAGTTTCAAATTTTGTATTGAAACTCTTCTTTAAGAAACTACCACTCATGAAGTTTCAGTGTGAAGAAAAATATTCACAACTATCTGAAAATATATTATTAAAATAATGCTGTCTTTCTAACTACATATCTCTGCAAAGCTGGATTTTCTTGGTATTCTTCTACCAAAGCAACATATTATGATAGATTGAGTGCAGAAGTGGTTATGAGAACCTATTTTCTATTAAGCCAGACATTAAAGAGATTTGTAAAAATGTAAAAGTGCCACTCTTCTCACCAGTTTTTTTAGTTGTGAAAAATATAGTTGTTTCATAAAAATGTTATTTATATTAATATAGAATGGACTTGCTGTTATTTTAAATGAATTAATAAATATTTATATTTTCAGTTGTAATTTATAATAAAATAAATATCGATACACACAACTAACATAAACAAAAGATCTTTCTGAAAAAATGATCCTCAAAATTCTCAAGAGTATAAAGTGGTCTGGAGAGCAAAATGTTTGAGGGTAGCTGATAGAGACAAATACGTAACCCTCCCCAAACCTAAGTTTTCTCTAAGGCTTCAACCTGCACTTTTTACTATACCAGTGTCTCCTAATTTAGAGAGACACCTCTCTGTTCAAGTGGCTGCCTGGTCGGGGAGGGGCCTGAGAGTCTAACTTTTCTTGGAACAGATTTCCAAGCACTGCATCCTCCTTGCTTTGTGGGTCAGTCTGCTTCCTGTTGTTTCTTTCCGGGCAGACACCTAGGTTCCACTTTCTTCTTTCTGCCAAGCCAGGTGCCATTCATCATTTCATTCCAAACTTTTAATATCGTCTCTTGGTTCTCTGTCATCACCTCTCCCATTCCTTTATCCTTGTGGGTTTATCATTTAAAAAAATACTTTTCTGTCATTTTAGTGGAAACTTTGGAGGCAGTGGAGGTAGAAGCATGTGTTTAACTGGGAGGACTATTTGTTGATTTTGGTATGTGTGCCAACATGTGGAAGCTATTAATTGCTACCTATTTATAACACATTATTTAATTTAAAATATTAAAAACAACTCTATAAATAAATTTAAAATATTCAATAGAAAGAGGATATTTGGTGTATCTGTTAGACATTTTCATATAGAATATTTACATTTTTCCTTTGTTATTTAATTACTTAGAAACAATCAAAAAAGCTTTTGGAGTTCTTTGGGAAAACGGTCCTGTTTTTAAAAACGAACATTTGTACAGTGCTGATGTTCAGCTAGAATTAACTGC